CTTCCCATCCATCCCAGGAGTGCCTGTGGCTGCAGCAACCTGCAGCTCTAAGCCCACGCTGCTGTCAGCATCACACCACGTGCCAATGCTCTCAGTTGCCATAAGCTTGCTCTCTCTTTATCCATCCACCCAAGCTCAACCAAGACCACTTCCCGCTCTGGGTCTCCCCACAAGATATGGGTATCTTATTTCTTAGCAGGGATTTAGAAAACTTTGACTCTAATGGAAGTTACCAAAATTATACTTGGGTAGAACTCAGGAGGCAGAGGCAGAAAACCTGCCTAGGAAAGAACGGGAAGGGTTCCAGGGAATAGTCATGGGTATTCCAGAGCCTGGCAGAGTTTAGCAGGAGTTTTGCCTATTGAAGGAGCAGTAAGTCTTACATAGGCTGGATTCCACCCCCCGGGGTTCTCTAAAAGCTTCCCATCACCTGCTCCTACACACATCTGCCGTTTCATACATGAAGGGTGTTCTCTTACAGCTCAAACAGCAGTCATCTCCAAAACAGCTTACTCACCACACAATGCACAAGGATGCTGAGAGGAATCCAAAAAAGCAAGGAGAAGACAAGCACAGAGCCCACTATATTATCCGCTAGGAACTTCCCTGTGAAGTCAGTTCAAATGTATTACCTACCGAATACTGTCACATGAACATACACATCTATCCCCGCTCTGCAGCCACTGCTCATGCAAGGCAAGCCACAGAACTGCTTAGAGAAGTACGGGCTACAGGACTAGGCAAAGATAAAAGAAATTATACAATTTTAGAAAACTGTATCCCATATGTTAACAATAACAGGCTTTTTTCCTCTTATTCTCTGATAAGAAAGGCTGACAGGCCGCAACATTTAATATGAGTTGACTGGGAACAGGCTACACTGAGTTAGCCAAGCTGCCTCTCTCCATTATACAAGGCACAGTGCGAGTCTCTTACCAAATTCTGATTTTACAGTCAAGTGGCAACTACCCACCTCTACAAACAAAATATCTGAACATCAAAGATATACAAATTGCCTCTACCTGATCAGGCTAAATAGCCTTAACAATTACCTAAGAAACAATTTTTTGACCCTAGAACTAAAGACTGAAAGCCTCAAACCCAGATAATTACACTGTGTAGGCCCAGCATTACCATGAGCGTGTGGAGTTATCCCATCATTACCCGGCACCAGCTTATTCACAGTTTTGTACGGTTCCAGTAACAGAGTGAGACTGGGGCGGGGGTTGTGCCAGAGGGCTACCTGCTTGGATCGCACCGTGGGCATCACGACCAAGGAGGCCCACTCACAGCTGCTGGGCAGTGACTCAGTACAGGCACACAGCTTGAGATGCCTGACCTCAGTGATTTTCTTAAATAAGAAAGAAATGAAGTTTTCCTTTCTCAGTCAGTTGACACTTAAATCCCACTGAGAGGCCCACTTTAAACTACACCAAATCTAGGTGAACTCCAAAAATACTGCCTTTTTTCTAATTGACCTACTTCTTGGTATCCAGACAAGGAGCTACTGTCTCCTTTACAAGCTTGGAAGATGCCTAGAAAATAATGCAGTGGAAAAATGCAAAATGATCCCCCATCCTTTCAGCTTTAAAAGTCAAGATCAGTATTGTCAAACTTTAGGCAAAAATATATTTATACATTTATCAGAAACAGCTACTAGCTACCCCTGCATACAGGTGAATAAAACCAGTTGCTAACTCCCTTCGAGGCTTTGTGTCATGAACTGAAAAACCCCAAAGGATATGGTAACATATCTTACCAAAAGTATTGATGCTGAGTTGGTCTATGAAATCCCAAAATCGTTCAATCACATCCTGTACTTGCTTCTCGCATTTACCCTGCAAAAGTAAACACTTATTTACAAAATAATCTTACTCTAAGTGTTAACTATTGCCTCTTGGAGAGGGAAGAAGACCCAAAGGTGGTAATGAACTGAAAACTAGAGACACACAGCCCTTGACTCACATTCTGAATACAGGTCTACACTCACGCCCAGCAGCAGCAGACCATTTTTACTGCCTTTATTTTTGGCAAAAAAAATTCAATTTCATTGCTGTCTGAAACAGACGAAGTTTTAATGTTTGAAACATGCAAAAACCATCCCACTCTCACCCCATGTTAGGATATAAAACCGAAGTTTCTGGAGAGGTTTAAGCACCAGAAGGCTCAGTTCCCACTAGTCACAGAGAAGGCTGCAGCTCTCAGCACCCCAAAGTTACAGACAGACTCACTCCCAGATCTGGCAGTGCTGGTTTAAGACAGCAGATCATCAGTCTTTTGAGTTCTGTCAGTGGAAGGGCTGGGGCACACCCTCCCAAATTCACTTCTACCAGCACCCATTCGACCACTAAAGTCTGCAGGTGACGTGACTGACTGTGCAGCTGTACCACGGAAACAGTCACTGAGCGCCCACAACCCACCAGTGTCTCTGCCATGGGCTCACTGTCCCCTTCAGATACTGCCAACTAGATTTTCACGTGATTGCTACCTGACCTGAATTATTTCAGTTAAAATTGATTGGGATAACGTGAACAGCTGAAATAGCAGGCCCTGCAAACCTAGCTGAGCTTGCAGCAGCACTCATTCGCCTCCTTCGCACAAACTGCCGGCTGGTGAGCTGTGGGGAGCAGCAAAATGGGCAACAAGCAACAGCAGAAGGTAACAGCTTCACCTTGCACAGATCTCAGCAGAACTAACTTCCATCTGCAGCATCAGACACCCAGTAGTATTTACCCCACGGAGAGGTACCTACACAGTATCACCCTGCTCAGCAGCACATCAAGCTTCGGCTTCACTGTACCGGCACAGTCCTCCTCACAGAGGACTCGAAGGCCCGGCCACGGAAGCAGAGCACGCAGTGCATTGACATCTGGGAAAACTTACATTTGTATCGCAGAAGCCCACGGTGCAAGGCTTCCCCTTGCGCAGGAACAGGAACTGGTCGTTAGCATCGACGTACGGTACACACCTATCCTGCTCGTCCCGGCAGCACACCTTGCAGGAATTATCCGTTTCTGTAATACAGTAACAAACTCATTCCTGGGCAGCACCAAGAGTCACCTGCAACCCATAACTATGCAGATGCATAACCCCACAATGCGCCCTGGCTGACTGTGTCCCTGCCCAGTTTCCCCACAGGGAAGGCAGAACTGTGCAAGTCACCCAATCTTGGACACTCTGATGACCAAGCATGAAACTCGACCAGATGCCCTGTGCACCCTATTACAGGACACAGTGGGACCAAGCTCTCCAAGCTGATACCCCAACACTGCAGGAATCAACAGACAGCTGAAGAGGTTGCAAACACATCCAAGACACAGATTTAAATATTTCTTGGACTTGGGCCCTTTAGGCAGCCTTCTCCTTGGCTATGTCCTGCATCTCAAACAGTGGGGCTCACAGCACTTCCCTGCACTGTCCCTGTGAAGCTTTCCTCCTGCTCCCAGCTGCTTTACCAGATTTAAGAGCTGAGAGGGAGAGCAAGCAAACAGTAAAGCTTACTGACAGAAGTATGACAGGCAGGTTTCCAGTAGCAAGAGACTGGACTCAGGGATCCTATGTTCTCTCAAGGTGCTTTGAAGTCTTTTTTTTAACCACTTGTTGGAGGCCACCACTCCTCTGCCAGATGCCTGAACCAAAGGTTGGTTGGGATCTCTTTACAATTAGAGAACAGTCAAAACTTCTCCTCCCGCCTGCCTGTGGCAGAGGAGGTAGATGGTGGGAAAGTGCCCTCTCCTTTCACTGGAGTGCCAGCCTAAGTCTCACCTTAATGTTTTCAAACCCAGACCACCAGAGGAAACTGACAGTCATTTTCCAAACAGAAAACACTAGCCCTGAAAAAACATCGGTTTAAAACTTTTTCAGAAACCAGAGACTCTGGCCTCCAACAGGCCACTCTACAGTGAGACCAGCACTCTGAGGAGCAGAGCCGAAGCATGCACTTCAGTGCAGTCCCGCATCACCCACCGTTGCATGCACACGATCGTAGGTTCTTCTCCCTCTCGCAGAAAGGGACACACTCCCCATCCTTGCACTTCCCCATGTCCACACAGACTGTGTCATCTGGAGCGTTCCCTGGAGGGGGGCACTCACTGCTGTTCCCTACAGATGGGAGTCAACAGAGTGGGAAGACTGTGTTAGAATAAAGGGCAGAACACTTGAGTGTGCAGAAGAAAAAAGGGCAATAAAGGAAATCCAGACTCATCCCAGGAGGAACCCAAATAGTTTGTTCTTGGTTTTCATCTGCAGGCTGCCTGCCAGCTCCTCTGAGAGGCAGCAGAAGCTCTGGAGGCTTTCAACAACTTGGGCACTGTGGCATTTTGGCAACCAAGCAGCAGGTAGCAGACCCTGGAGGCACCATCAGCAAAGCCACAGCAGCTCTGACATGACTCCTTGCCTCCAGGAAAAATTACGAGGAGGAATTAAACAAGTGGTGAAGTGATGCAGAGTTGCAGTAATTTCATCCTTTCTCTGACAAGATTCAGCTCATTCCTGTCCCTTCCCAGTGACACACCCTGTTTTACTTTTTTTTTTTTTAAGAAAGAAAAAGTGGGGAAAAAGAAACAACAATCAAAATTTTTCTTGCTCTTCTGGACAGTAAATCACCAAGTGACTCGTGAACTACAAAGAAACTCATTATAGGGCAATTTCGTGATGCTTAATTGGTCTCTAAAATTACATGTACCGGATGAATAAAGGGCACTAGTTTGAAAGCGGATTGAACAGGACACTGAGCCTGGAGCACTCGGCTAGCTGACATAAAGTGGACAGAACCACCTCCTACCAGTGCAAAAAGACTCTCCTTTACAAGTGGCATTTATGGCTTCTTGGCATTTCTTCTGTGCGCTTTCAAACTGGCAGCCTTTACAGCAGGGACTGTTCCGATCACTGTGGAAAGATCAAAATGAAAGGAAGAAATATTAAGCATTTTTTTTTTAAAATAAGTAAGAGCATGACAAAGCCAGGGAAAAAGATGGTTAGAGAGGGGAAAGCTACTTCTTGGAGATTGACTCACTGATTCAAAATGCTTGCCCTCTCTGCCCCCTCCCATGACCACCTTTCCACATATCCACTCACTCTTCATTCACCGAATGTAAAAGCATGTAGAAAGTACAACACACGGAGAGAAAACACAGGGATCCTCATATTTATTCAAGGCACCTGGATCCTCTTGTCACTTGCCATACAACTTTGAACAAGATCTTCCACTGTTTTCTTCCCCACACGTTTTTGCCCTGTGCATCCTGAAGGTTTACTACTCTTTATTCTGTGCTCTCTTTGTTCTGTATCCAGAGCAAGAAGGTCCTTAGCACACACAGAGTCATTAAAGTTGAGGGAATTCGTGAGTTGCACGACCCGTCCACTGTTAGGTGGTGCAGAGCTGAACTCTGAGGAACCAGATTGGACACCGCATTGCAAGAGGGTCACGAACACTCCAAAGAGCAAGATCAACAGAAAGAAGACTCATTCAGCGCAGTCACTGCATCATCTGCTCAAGCATGTTTTGCAACAGCCTTGAAAACACCAGTATGTGATGCCATTTTAAAGCCACCTTGCAATACAAGCAAAAATTGTATTTGCACAGGAAGTTTGCACAGGAAATTTTTAATATTAATTTTTGAATGCCTGATTTTGCTCTTAAATATAACAACAACAGTCGCCTTCAAGCCCGCAGCTCTCGGTGCTTCTCAGAAAAAGTAGGAGAATGCTATAAAAAAAAATCTACGTATGCCAACAGTGCACACACACAGCAGCCTTTCCTGACATCCTTTATTTTCTTCAGCTCCCACGTTCAGCCTTAAAGCCAGGAAACAGGCCTGTGACACTGCAGGTGGCTTTGGGAGCTTTCAGCCCAGCCCATCGTTCTCTGCCCGCTAAGAGAAGTTGCAGCCTATCTCCCCTTACCTGCATTTGGCACCATCTTTCAGTTTACAGTCTGCGGAGCAGCAGGGATCAGCCTGTTGGTACAAGAGGCCAGGATCGCATTCCTCCCCTTCATCCACCCTGGAGTTTCCACACACTTTGTTGTTGCGCTCTTTGAAGCACTCCTGGGCCTTGATCTCTATGGTCCTATGGATGGATTTTT